AGAAACTGCGCAAGCTGCTCAAGCGGCTGCAGAACAATGACACATGCAGCATGCCAGGCCTCACGTGCTTCACCCACGACAACCACCACTGGCAGACCGCGCCTCTCTGGACGCGTGAGCAAGCAGGGGCAGGCATGCAGGGGGCGGGAGGCCTGTATATAGTCACCTACCTTCCCCAGGCTTCAGCGGGCCAAACTTCTGGACCCTGGAGGTGTCTTAGAAACCTGTGCCTGGTATCAGCCTGTCGCTTCGCATTTGAGAGACTGGCTCAGGGAAGCTGACAGACTCATGTTTCTGCGGACACACTTGGAACATGCTTGCTTCCTTCTACAGTGGGGCCCTTCTGTGCCTGCACCAGCGCCAACAATAACACATACTGGTGCTTGAGGACCATCAATGAGACCCACAACTTCCTCTTCTGTGAATTTGCGACTGGCTTCATAGAATACTTTGACCTCAGTACAGACCCTTACCAGGTACAGATACCGCCAGAGAGATGGGGAGGTGGGAGCGCATGGCACACAGGCACCACCAGACACCCACACAGTCTCCTTCAGAAGGGCAGAGAAGTTCCACCAGGTCCCTAAGATGGGAAGAGTGAGTTCCAAGGCCACCTGGAGTCTGGGACTCTGGGGAGTCAACATGTGTCTCCCTCCATTACCCTTGCTCTGATCTACAGTACAGCTTTTCCTACGCCCTTGGCCACACACAAGGCTCAGCAGGCACTTCTGTGGACCCTTAGAGCAATGGAGCTACAGGGTCAGGACACTCTGGCCTGGCACAGACTGTGCAGGCAAGCAACCCTCACACCCAGCATCCACTCGAGGCAAGCTCTGTGCCTTGTTTTCCTATTGCAAATGATCTAGGCACAGATATGGTTGAAATGGCTCCCAGCCATATGAGATAAGTACAAGGCACAGGGCACCTGGGAACCAGAACTTTCCATCTTAGCTGTTTTGGAGAGAAGCCTCTGTAATGTCCAACTGTTCAACCGCATTTAAAAAGCCTGGAGCATCTTCATGCAGAGTGACTTCAGTAGCCACAGCCTGGCAGTCTTCCTTCTGATAGGCTCAGCCTATCCATATTTTACCAGTGAGAGTACCAGGCAATGTCAGCCAGTGATCATCAGTAGCTGCCAGACTAGGCAAGGCCTCCACACCCCTGACCCACCTTTGTACCTACTGGATGCTTTCCCATCAGAGGGGAACAAGGGCGGGCTTATGAACAAGGCTTAGAAGGTTCTCTCCCAGCTAATGGGAAAGGTCCAGAATTCCAAGGTTAAGGACATGGATATAGCTGGTCTTCTCCGTTTCCCATCCCCATGAAGCAGACCTGGCAGAGGGGATCTGACCCTTCGTCTCACCCCTCCACACTGTGGCTCTTGCAGAAGTGGAGCTTGGGTGTAGACAGTACCCCCATAGCGCCTCTGCTCCCAGCCCACCTGAGTTAAGTGCTGTGGTTTGAAGAGGAGATGGAGGTAGGGGGTCCCATAGCATAAATAATAAAAACCCAGAGACAGATACTGGGGTTCAGCCTGAAGATACGAAAAGCAAAGCAGCCAAGCCACCAGAGAGCTCTTAACCTCAATGAAATCTTCAGACTGAAAGAGAGCTAGTTACAGTCTCATCCCGTCTTATATTCCTCTCGAGTGCTGGGATTAAAGTGCACCACCACCCAGCCTCTATGGCTAACTAGTGTGACTACTGGATCAAAGGTGTGTGCCACCACTGCCTGGCCTGTATGGCTGACTAGTGTGGCTGCTTTGCACTGACCTCCAGGCAAGCTTTATTAGAATACAAATGAAATATCACTGCAGGGTCCCAGGACCTTCCCTGTTAACGGCCACTCTTTCCCACCAGCTGATGAACGCAGTGAACACGCTGGACAGGGATGTCCTGAATCAACTGCACGTGCAGCTCATGGAGCTGAGAAGCTGCAAAGGCTACAAGCAGTGCAACCCCCGGACCCGAAACATGGATCTGGGTAAGTAGGGGCACTAGTGCGGAACCTGCAGAGAAGAGCTTAGGTCATGTCTGATCCAAAAGTGAGCCCAGAATCACAGGGAAGGGTCCAAGTCTCTTCTAAGTCTAGAGAAAGGATGGGGAAGGCTATAAACACCCTCTGGCTTCACAGGGCTGTGCTTCCTGAGAAGCTCCACTAAGGTCATTGAGAATGAAGGCTAAGTGGGGTCAGTGGGGGGGGGGGGCGGTATCTACAAGGCCATCTAGCATATTAAAAGGGTCTTCATCATTCACCCACTCTACCTGAGCAAGGGACGCTAGTGACATCCTGGCACTGGCATTTGTGACAAGCCAAAGGTGGTTTACCTGTCTTCCTTAGCAGTCACAAAGCCTGCTGATGCTTGTACCATTTTACCTTAAACGGTTCCTATTCCGTTCATCTCTTTCTCAGGACTCAAAGATGGAGGAAGCTATGAGCAATACAGGTATTTGGTTTTGTTACTTAAGTTTGGGCTAAGTTCCCCCATCTGGACCTCTTTTTTTTTAATGGTTGTACCTATTGAGAAACTGTCTACCAAAGTGTCACCTCAGACAGCATCTCTGCACAGTTCGGGGGTGGGGGATGAGGGGGGAATGAGACGATACAATCCTAGTGATAGTTAACACAGGTCTTCCTTTTGGCACCTGAAAAATGTAGGCAGTTTCAGCGTCGAAAATGGCCAGAAATGAAGAGACCTTCTTCCAAATCACTGTGAGTTGACGAGCCAGTCTGCAGACAGGCAGAGTTGGTTCTGACTTGCTAGTTTCTGGTTTTGTTGCTATGGTCTGGTTTTTTGTTGTTGTTTTGTTTGTTTGTGTGTTTTTTTCCAGTACTAGGGGTTGAAGCCCCTAGTCATTCATGAGTCATTCATGCTAGGCAAGAGCTCTACCACCAAACACCACCCCGGCCTTGTTTCCTTTCTCTGGGGCTGTTCTTCATGCATGCAGTATCTTCATTACCCTCTGTTCCCATACTCAGAGGGGACAAAGTAATAGTGGTTTTTCCTGTAAGATAATGTGAATATATTTCATAATTTGAAATTAATAGCTAATCCTAACAGACTGCTGTTCTCTCTGTAATAATCTGCATGGCTGAGCTATGGCAGTGTTGAGTAGTGGGTCAGGGCTACAGTGACAGATACCTTGAAGGCCGTGGCTGCAGTGTATACCCTTCTCAGCAGAGTGGCTGTCACGGGCCATGTGGAGAACCTCAAGTCTAGGGGCAGCCAATTGGTTCCCAAGGGGTGCGGATACAGCTTGCCAGATTCTTTCCAAAATGTGAATGTGACAGTTTGCTTTAAGACTGACAGCTCACTTGTCCACTCCCCTCTGCAGTGACCCACCCTGGCCCACCCATATCCCTCTCCTCATGCAGGTCAATCTCTGTGGCTTCATGAGGACAGTAATGGGCCAGCTTCCAGAACACGCATCTCAAATCCTTAGCCACAGTTCTACCCAGACCCTTAACAAATGTCCACTGAGTCACTAAGTGAGCCATTAACTGTGAGGCAACCGGGTGGAACAATTCCTTCCTCATGGCCCAACACTCCTGTCCATCAGCCACACCCCTCGACCAAGCTTTGCAGCGTAGGGCTGATTTAAAGTCTGAATGGCATGGCAACCAAGGCTGAGAAGTGTGTTTTGTTCCGCAGGGGACAGCTTTGGGAAGGCTGGGAAGGTTAAGCGGCCATAGAGAGGAACCTCCAAAACCAGAGGCCTTGTGTGGCTGCCCACATGATTCCCAGTGTGGAACTGGGAGGCCTGACAGGAGGCAGGGCCTGCTCTCTTGTGACATGAAATCCTTGAGGACTGTGCCCAGACCTCCCTAGGCCCATTTTTTTTGCCCTGCTTTGCTTTGGATCGAACTTCACCAGCTGCTCAGAAAACATTCTCACGTCTGGAATTTCTGCCAGCCCTCTCGGAGGCTCGGACGGACAACAGGACAGACGGACAACAGGACTGATTTCCATGGATCTCCTCCAGGGATGAAAGTTGCTGGGATTTTTTTTTTAAAGTCATAAGAAAACAAGCTTGTTTTAACCTTATTATTTGGAGAAAGCACGGACATGGGCAACCCTGGGTGCTGCCGACAAGGCAGTCTGGCCATGAGTAATAGCACAAAAGCAGCATCGTTCACCTGGCCGGATGACCCGCTGCCTCTGAAGCTGCCTTCACTGTACATATGTGACCGCTCACATGTAACCAACACAGGGACTTTAGGGGAATCTCACTAATACAAAACCCCGTTCTCAAGAGTCGTGGTGTCAATAAACGCTCTGTGGCCAGTGTCAACAAAAATCCCTCGAGCTTGTGGACATTTCTGTTTCCACCCAGGATCCATTCCTTTGTTATCCATCCCAGAACTCATGTTTTCTAAGGTACTGAACACCCAAGCTGATATGTGTCCTGTGTTTTAATGATATTGTATTTGTAAAGAAATTTTGTAGTATAAGCACCATCTTACAGTGTTCATACCCCCAGCCAATGACTAGCTACTGGTATGAAAAAAAAAAAAAATCTTTGAATTTTTGTAAAAGGTTATGTTGGGACTTTTCTTTTTTCTGTCTTTTATTTTTTTACTTTTTCTTTAAGCGTTCAGGATACTGCCGGTGCCTCTGGGAAGGGTGCACCTTCAGCTGCAAGGGCTTTGGAGAAGCAGAGGGTTGCACGTTAATATTAAACCTACCATGCTTCACGGGGCTGCACAGGTAAGTCCACCAGCTCTGGGGCATCTGGAAGTCTGTTTCTCAGCAACAAGGCCTGCACTCATCCAACCTTTTGTTAAACCAAGTAGGGTGACCCGGTCCACGTGACTGCCAGAAAGCTAGGGTGGGTAGAGGTCAACCCACCCCATGTCTCAGCAGAGGGCTCTCATGTTTGTCTAAATGGCTTTCAAATGCTTTGAAAGGCCTGTTTTGACTTCACAGGCATGGGTGTCCTTATTCCTTCGCCCTTTCACCCCTGACCGGGCACGTGGAGGAGAGAACAGCATGCTTAGGCTGAGGTTTAAATAGAAACCTTTATTTACAAGAGCATCCAGACAGTCAGCAAGGCATCCAAAGCTCACTCCAACTGATTCACCCATGTGGTTTCGATTCCTTGCAGGGTAAAGAATGGCTCCCTTTTAGGTGACACAACATAAACTTGATTAAACCCAAATTTGTTCTCAGTGGTGTCACTTCCTGAGAATTTACTGCTCTTGGAACAACATTTCATCTTCTTCAAAACTCCATATATTCAAAGGAAAGGAAAAGGGAGAGGCGAGAACAAAAGAGAACAATGCCCTGCTTTTTAAGTCATCCGCACTGGAAGAGGAACACCCCCTGCTGCTTCATGGCAGGATCACAGGTGCAGCTAGCCTAGATAGAGACTTGCTCCTATAACACCCCACTTGGGAACAATTCACGACCTCCCTCCTCAGATAGAAAGGGCCTGGATTGGCATGTGGGCAACTGGCAACCCTCACGATGGTCCAGCTGCATCTGCCTCTGAATCAAGAAACGTCTAGGCTGTGAAGCCATCATCTTCTGCAGTACCCACTGCTACACACCCCCAGCTCCGCTCAGCATTTAGTCCTGATGAACGGAGTAGGGCGGCTATGACCGGGCATGGTTCAGAGAGAAAACGGTCTAATACCAACAGGACAGCTTCATTTATTTTTGAAGAAACATGTTTCCTTAATATCATTTGATCTTCATAAAATATATTTTTATTTATATATCTTTGGATTCAGCAAAATAGTAGGTACTGGAAATGTCTCACATCATAAAAGCAGATGGAAAAGTAACTTATACTGTTTGCCCAAGAGACACCTAGATTTAAAGAGGGGCCAAGGAGGAGGGGGAGGCGAGGTAGGCAACTGGAGTACAAAGAGAATGATCCAAAAAAGATTAAAAGGGCAATTCAGGTAAAAACAAATTATCCCAAAGACTATTAAAAGAAAATCAGAATTTTGAATTTGCACCAATAAAAATAAGTAGAAAATATAAAAACATAATAAACTTCCATTTTTCCCCATACAAAAAAGGGGTGCCAACCAGTTAACCTGGCATTGGGTGCTGAGGAAAGAATCACAAAGTTGGATCTTAAATGTCTTTAGAAGAGACAGGAGCACCACTGTGGGCTACACAGTCTAAGCAAGGACGTCTCAGCCACACCAGCCCAGCTCAGAGAGTCACCCGCGAAGCACACAGACACAATGGAAGCTTACGGATTTACAATCCGGGACAGTAGGTCAGTCACAGGGGGAATCCCATCATGACCTAACTAACATGTTGGAAAGCCAAGTCCATCCTTGAGGTGGCTCTGGAAATGTAAGCTTCACTTGTCCAGAGACAGGTAGAAGAGTGAGGTGATATTCAGGGATACAGAGAACAAGTGGCCAAATGTGTAGCTTTTAAAAAGTAACTGGCTCTCAGAAAATGACACAGGGCTGGCAGAGATGTCTGAAAGCCACACATAGTCTAGGAATCGAATTTCACTTCATTGTTTGAACCTAAGCAAACCCAAATAAAGGGCATTAAATTTGGTTTTCCCCTACTCCAAACTGCTACAACAGGTGCCAAGAAGAGGCAAGAGAAGTGGCGGGGAAGGGCTAGCGAGGGCCAGGGCCCACCCTCTGACTCAACAGCACGGGCAGGGCCTGGTTCTGACTCAGCATCCTGGTGCAGAGAGGTAGAGAGAGACCCCCCCATTGAGCAGAACAACGGGAGAGCTGAGCAGACCATCTCAGGTCCCAGAAACCAAAATCACTCTTAAAAGATGAATGGCTGCATACTCAAGTTGTCTGGAACTATTATCATTTAATTTATGGACAGCTTAAAAATGCAAAAAAAAAATTTCAATTTGCTTTTTTTTTCTTCCAATTCTTGGGTTGTTTTTTAAAAGCTCATTTCCCCATATCTATTCTTTCCCCCAAATTAAGAAAGTGCGTAGTTCTCTGGTAAAGAAATTTTTAAAATTTTAAATGTCTACATCTAAACAAATGATCACTTTAAAAAGTTTTAGGATTAGGAGACTGAAGAGTGAGGCCTTCACTCTTAGGGTGAGGCAGGAAAGCTGCGGCCGCCCGTCCTCCCCAGGCTGTGGCCTTCCGGATGTCTACTCGCTTGTAGCCTCACTGCATGGAGTTCACAGAAATCGACAATGTTAAATATTTAGCTTCACAAACTCTGTAAAAAATGAGCTGCTGTGACCTACAAAAAAAGGTATGTACATATTTTTACATAATACAATATCTTAAAAGATCATATTTACAAAAAGGAAACCTATTCACAGAAACACTGCGAGCTTCTGATTCAGAGTGCAGTACCTGGCCTTGGGTTTCACAAGTTTATTTCAAAGCATTATTGCTCTACCATATAGGCAAAGGGTGACGCCAGTACTTGAAAGAAAACAACAAACAAACAAAAAACAATCATGTTCTTGTCCTAACAGATTAGTGCAGACAAAAACCAGGAATGTGGCTCGCCATTCCTCACACCCTCAGGAATATTGCATTTCTCCGCGATTTCTTAAGTAAAGTGCACTTGGCTGCACATTAACAGGGGAAAATTAAATATTGTCATCTCATTTTCCCTTCTGCAAAGCCATTTAACAGCAATGACAAATCCTTGAGAATTACAGGGTACTGGGACCTAAGACGAAGACTCCACCTGTAAAGGACAAGAGCACAGGAACACCGGTTCCACTGGACAGAAGAGCGACACAGAACTACTTGGTGACAAACACTTAAAGGCAGACTGCTCCTCGCCCAGGGCTGCAGGACAGTAACCCTAACCACCTAGATTTATGTGAAGACTTTGGCTGGCGAGGCAGGAGGAAGTGACCCAGGAGAGCAGTGCTTATGAAATTCCTGTCTCCAGAATCACATCCCCATGAGGCAGAACACCATGCCACACAGAGGCAGGGCATCAGGTAGACAGTGCGCTTCAGCTTGGGACCCAGTTCTGCTCAAATGACAGCACTCGGAACACCTAGGTGGTCAAGCTGGCCGCCTAGACAGTGACTCGTTACCCCCGATGAGCCTGTGCAGTGAGGGATTTCCTTATTGCTGCCAGCAGGGAGAGGTCAGCAGTATTTCTGTTAACAAAGAAAACAGTCAGCACGGCGGAAAACCATCCCCCTTCTGCACACTCTGCCAGGCACCACTGTGACTGGTTCTTTAGAATCTTTAGAATCCAACACAAATACCTAATCAACAACCCAGGACCTTCAAACAAATGCTTTTCAAAACTGTAATTTGTGTAAGTTATATATCCGAGTTAAGTACACAGACCACCTTGGCAGGATTCTGGGTCTAAACAGAGGAGGAAAACCTTTTTGGGGAGTTAAGAGTAAGAGTAGATACCATACCTGCTCAGGACCCATGGGCATGCCAGACATGGGCATGGGGGTCATGTTCATCTGTCCCAGGTGACCACCACTGTTGTTCATGTGCACCATGCTGTATGCTGCAGGGGTCCCCTGGGGAGCAAACTGCTGCTGGGGAAAGGAGCTGCAAAAAAAAAAAAAAAAAAGGTAATGCTGCTTCCAAATCAATCCAGACTACAGGGCACACAGACTATCACAGATGTCCCTTTGCCTAAGCAGAAAACATCAGAGAAAGAACGACTGGTTCTTGTTTTGTTTTGGCTTGGTAGTGGTAGTGCTTGAGACAGGATCTCACTGATACCTCTGGTTCCCTGTGTGACCTCAAACTCAGACCTCCTCCTGCCTCTGTCACCTGAGTGCTGGGTAGCTGCCACCACCCCTGACCTGAGGAAAGTCTTCTGTTCTTCACAGCTGTTAGGACTCAGCTTGCTCACAGATATGGGCATGGGATAAAGCAACCAACCCAGAGTAAGCCAAGCCTTGTGATCTCTCCCGCCTAAGTGTGACTGAGAAACAGTCCATGCCTCCAGTGCTAGGGTGTAAAGAAAAGTCACACTCCCTACCTGCTTCTGGCCAGGTTCCCTGATGGCCACCCCTTCATCTCTGAGGACTGATACATGGGTGCAGTCTGAGGATGCTGCACCATGGCATTCTGGGAAGGCCCCATTCTTGATGACATCACTGCACTAGGAGGACTAGACACTCGACCAAAGGCTGGATCTGGTGGTTGTCCCATTCCTTGAAGACATAAATAAGAATCAGTGTTCAAATGCTTGCACCCTTGGGATCTCAGCATCCTAGAATCACCGTGGGTGGCAGAGGGTGGTGAAGAAGGGACACAGAGCTACAAGTAGCTGCTCTTGGTGGTCTTGCTTCTCACTAAGATGACAAAGTCATGGGTTTAGCAAAAAAAAAGATGTCATCTGCTTCATGATCTCCTGTGAGACAGACTCCTTCCCAGAGTGCAGGGCTGCACACTGGAACCGGCACTCTCCCAAAGGCAGGACTGAAGCTCAGCGTGCTTAGTATAATCATGGTAGGCACTCAAGTTGCTGAGAGGAGACTGAAGTCCACATCTGGGCTTTGTCCTCCTAGTAAGACTGTCCAGAAATGACACAGCATTCTTCCCTAGGACATGAAGAATGGGCAGAGGAATGATGGAGGGGTGCTGCAGCTGGAGAACACACTTGCTCTCCCATTACTATACACAGCAGCTCTGTTTCCTCATAAAATGGAGTGAACCGTATTCTATTTTTCAAACACAACAGACCCAGTGGAACTTGTGACCTCAGTAGCATTACTTTAGAAAAGGCACAAAATGCCAGGTTTACCATAATTTGTTGGATATGGAAACTGCTGCGGGGGGGCTTGTGGCATTGCTGATCCTGCCAAAACCCCATCCATGCTAGGGGAAGCGGTGACATTGGGAGGTGGGCTGAAGGCCTGAGGCTGTGGCTGTGACATCATCATTGCCATTCTCTGCTGCTGCAGGTGATGGTTCATCAGCTCTCGTTTTTGTTGGGCAGCCATCTGAGCATTAAAGAAAGCCTGCTGAGAGACCATATAAGAGAACCAGTCAGTTTCACACAGTGCCACTCAATACACGAGCTGTCAGAGAAAAACCCAGTGTCTTCTGTAATTAAAGGAATAAGAAATTATCAAAAATATCTCATTATAACCGTGGCTTCTTAATGTTGCCCAGTAAGCACATCCTCACTATCTAGAATCATTTACACATTCCCAAAAAGCCCAGTGGTTATCCTACAATATAGCAACTCATCACAAAGGGACTCAATCTGGGTGATTTTACTGGTGATTTTAATGAAGAAACCCTTCTCCCCAACCCCTGACTACTAACAAAGGAGAATAAATATAGGAGCTAGAGAGATGGCTTAGAAGCTAAGAGCATTGGCTGCTCTTCCAAGGACCTGGGTTCAATTCCCAGCACCCACATGACCACTCACAACCACCTGTAATTCCAGTCCCAGGAGATGTCACATCCTCTTCTGGCCTCCAGAGGCATTGGGCATGCACATGATACACACCCATGAAGGGAACATACTCATAAACAGAAAATAATTTTTTATAAAAAAGAGAAAGTATGATAGAACCAATTCCTACAAGAACTTCAGATTTTCTCATTTAGCATGGACTGAGGACTAGGCAGAAGCCACCCTATGCTGGAGTGTGGAGTCGCCCACCCTCTGCTAGGAACTTACCTGGGGCTGCATCATGGGCCTCATCACAGCAGCACCACCAGTAGGGTTCTCCATTTTCATCTCAAGTGCCTGCCGGCTCTGATTCAAAAACTGAACAGAGAGAAGTTAGTAGGGTCAAGTGTTAATGAGCCCTAATCAGCTTTACCAACTTTTAGCACCACCCAGTGAGATGATCTCTCCAAACACACTGAGCTGGGAAGCCAGCCACATCTAAACTCAATTGGTTTGTTTGCACTCTGCAGAAGAGATACGGTCAGCAGCTCAGAGCATGCAAGCTCCTTTCACAGCACTGACATGGTGGTTCACAGTCACTGCTACCTCCAGCTCCAGGGGGTTCCACACCTCTGGCTTCCGCAGGCACATGTATACGTTTTTACACATGCGTGCGCGCATACACACACACACATCTATTAAAAATAAAGTAAATCTTTAAATAAAATAGATGAGGAATGCTGACAAGTCCTTGCCTGAGTGTGGAAAGCTTGTTCGGCCCTGGGGCAAAAGCCAAAGAGCTAGCAGTGTGCAGCTGGAGCAGCGCTGTGACAGGAGCTCAAGGGGCCGTGTCAGGTGCCTCAGTTTTCTCCAGGCCTCGTCCAGACAATCAGATAACAACTTTAATTTGATCAGATAATAGTGAGCATTTAGTAGGAAGAGGTAATAGGTATGGAGTATCATGAGCACAGACACACAGCTTTCCCAGGTCTAAACCCACTTCGGGAACAATCGTACCCTGGCTCTGGACCATTGGACTCAGCTCAGCCACTTATCTACTCAAGTGATCTAGTGCCACCAGATGTACTTACAGCTGGATTTTAAAAAACTGGGGATTAAAGAAATATCGGGAAGAAATGGAAGTTCTAGTTAGAGTATTAATTCTTTTAAAATATTTATTCTTAATTTAAGTATGTCTGCATGTGGGTGTATGTGCATGAGAGATTTTTTCAGAGATCAGAAGATGATGTGAATCCCTGAACTAGAGTTAAACTGTGAGTGGGTACCAGGAACCAAACATAGGTCCTTTGCAAAAGCAATACATGTTCTTCACTGCTGAGAATGTCCCAGCCCCAAAGTACTAAGCTTTAAAAAGTATCAAAAAGCAGTTGCCATTAAAATGCTGAAATCAACAGTGGTAGCACACACCTGCGATCTCAGTATGAGAGGTTGAGGTAGGAGAATTACAAATTCGAAGTCTGCTTGGGACTAACAGGGTTCTGTCTATATAAACTAAAAAGCTAAAATCAAGATTTAAGTATTTGGTCATCATACTAAGAAAATGTCTTCCAGGGGCTGCCAAGACATGCTGTTCCTTCTGGGGAAATCATTTCTGACATTTTAACCTGCTATGTTCTGTTCTGTTTGAAACAGGGCTCACTGTGTAGCCCTAGCTGGCCTAGTACTTACTGTGTAGATCAGGCTGGCCTAGAGAACTCACAGGGGTCCACCTGCTTCTGCCTCCCAAGCGCTGGATTAGAGGTGTACACTAAGCAGAGAGTGACTAAGGACTAAGCTAGGTTGCCTGGCTTGCATGAAGCACTTTTACACACTGAGCCGTTTTGCCACTGCTAATGTTATTCCACAAAATACAGAATATAGAAAAAGACACCCAATTCTGACACACCTCAACAAGGAACCATCTACACACACAAAATAAATCTAGAACAGAAGTGAAAGCAAAAGGAATTCCTTTAGTTAGCAAAGAGTGGAGAGCCAGTGACAAGAGCTCTGAAGAACATAGCCTGAAAGCCACTAAGAGCCTGGGCAAGCACACAGCTGGCTCACCTGCTGGCCCTGCAGCCTCTGCTGAAGCTGCATTCTCAGCTGCTTGGGGGTATTTGTTCTTGGTCTCATGATGCTGGCTCTGGGGTGCATCCCTTGGAGAGGAAAGCTGCCTTGCTGGCTAATCTGATTCATCATCGAGTTAAAAGATGGTGACTGTCCCTGGAGGTTAAAGCCTCCTTGCATAGGAGGACCCTGGGCTGGGTACGTCTGTCCATACAATGCTGCCTTCTGATCCATCATCACTGCTGCTTCTTGACCTTGAAAAATATCTTGTTTGGCCTCCAAAGCTTGCCCCTTAAACATCAAACACAAATGAATAGTGAGGTACATCTGAGAAAGCAACCAAAAGCAAATATCCCAAACAAGGTTAAAAAAAAAGGGGGGGGGGGCTTGAACTTCCCACAGGGCAGGAAGCCCTGACTGCTCTTAGGGATGGAGAGGGAGGAGGAGGGGGAGTGGGGGGAGTGAGAGGGTGTTGGAAGGAGGGGCGGAAATGGAAACCTTTATAATTTAATAAACTTTAAAAAAAAAAAAAAGTAAAGTCAATACATGGAGCAGTAATAGCTCCGAATCCAGAAGCCAATCGAGGTTCAGGCCTGAAGCTCCACAGGACATCCCGCTTTGTTGGGAGCCGAGTCCCAGCACAGAACAGACACACACACACTCAGTCTTTCCAGTAGCTACAGTATAGTCAATAGCTGAAGAAATACTATTTGCCCATGACCAGTTAACAGCCACACACCTCTCAAACCAAGCAGACAATGCATCAAAATCACAATAGGCAATACATTCTCGCACTGACTCATCCCATCACCAATCCTGGACTCTGGGCTCCGGTGTCTTTAGGAATACACAACTTGTTTGTTTGCTTTGTTTTTGTTTTTTCAAGACAGGGTTTCTCTGTGTATCCCTGGCTGTCTTCGAACTCACTGTCGGCCTCAAACTCTGAGATCCCCCTACTTCTGCCTCATAAGAGCTGGGATTAAAGGTGTGAGGCACCATGCCAGGCCTCGGTCTACACAACTTTTTCTGGGCTACTTTGGAATAAGTGTTTGAGGCAAAGACCCAATCACAAGTGCTTAGCATCCAACCTTGACCCCTTCTCCAAATCTTTTTGGTTATGCTAAGAAATCCCACCCAGACACTAAGGACTAAAGTAGGTTCATTCCAGAAACATGAATAAGAGACCTTCACACCTTTGTTCTTATCCCTAGTACCAAGCTTCCTTCCCAGTACAAGGACCTTCTGGGAGAGCAAAGGTGGCTTTCCCTGTATGTGGAAAGGAATAGGAACAGACACCATCAGCTGAGAGAGAATAGCAGACAAAGCAGCAGGCAGAAAGAGGGGATCAGCCACATACAATCAGAGAGAAGCAAGAACTGTGCATGGTCCCAGATGGAGCCTTCTGAGAACGCTACGCTAGGGAGTAATTCTAACCAGAGTCCCTTCAGCTGTCTTCCACTGCTCTTCCTACTGGCAATGACAAGTAAATAATGTTGTCCCAACTCTATGCTAGAACAAACTAGCAAATGAATTCTGTAATGTCCTTTTCCTCTTGCTGTTTCTGTGGGGTGAGGGGGAGGGTTGGGAGATCCCTTCCTACCTTCTCAACAATAGTCTACAGGGAAGCTGTGTGGTGTGCATGCTTAGGAATGATTTCTATATACTTTTACTTGGCTGGACTCAAAGAAGGTCCAGTAAGTCTTGTGTGCTCTTGAGTGGTCCAGAACTCATCTGCAGCGTGGGACAACCACAACTGGAAGGGATGGAAGAAAATGCAGGAGAATTTGGTTGAAATGTAAATAGCAAGTGTAGGTAATTAGATTTCCTAGTTTTCACACATTTTCAATAAAAGGAAATCAGCATATTATCTTAATTTTTAGCAGCAAATAACTGTCTATAGCAGAACTGATTAAGTAAATTACGGGCTGTCCAGGTGACTCAACAAGCCAAGGTGCCTGCTGCCAAGCCTGACAGCCTGAGTTCTATCCCTGGCTCCCACACTTGTACCCTGTAAAGTTTTATCAGTTGTACTGGTTTAATAAAATGCTGGCAGGCAGGGCAACCAGAACAGGAGAATTCTGGGAAGGAGAAAGGCTCAGTCTGCAGTTGCCACCTTGACATAGAAGAAGCAAGATGAGAATGACTTGCTAATAAACAGGTACCAAGTCCTGTGGCTAACACAGACAAGAATTAAGGGCTAATGTAAGTTATAAGAGTTAATAAGAAGCCTGAGCTAATAGACCAACCAGTTTATAATTAATATAGACCTCTGTGTGATTCTTTGGGATGAAAGGCTGCAGGACTGGGCAGGACAGAAACCTCTGTCCCCCACAAGACCCCACATGCATGGCATGGCATAAGTGCATACACACACATAATGTTTTAAAGGTTTTAGGGCTGGTGAAATGGCTGAGTAGCAAAGGCCTCTGTCACCAATTCTGACACTCCAAGTTTTGTTTCCAAAACCTACATGATAGGATAAGCCTGACTCCACAGACTGTTCTCTAACCTCCACATGTGTAACGTGGTGTGTATATGCATGGACAGATGCACATACATGAGCCCACACACACAAAATTAAATAAAATGTAATAAGACTACAAATCTGTCCTTTTAATTTAAATAAATTCTCACAAAATTCATGACTAGCAAGAGATGACTTATGTACTAATAGGTAAAATGGGGGGGAAAAAAATCACTTCTCGTCTCTGGAATGCATTTCTAGCTAAAAGCTAAAGATCATAGCCAGGCATACACCTTTAATCCCAGCACTCAGGAAGGAGAGGCAGGTGGATCTCTGAGTTCAAGGACAGCCTGGTCTACAAACTGAGTTCCAAGACAGCCAAGGCTACACAGAAAAACTGTTTGGGGGGTGGGAGGAAGGAAGCAAAAAGCAAAAGGAGTCATCAATCACTATTCCTCAAGTGCTCAATGTTAGGATCAGGCATCAATTCTCTACATGCAATGATGAGATACACACACACACGAGTTACCCTGTAACTCCACTGTGCCACCCCCACCACCATCCTTGTCCTGCTCTAGCCTTTCCTTACTTGTATGAGTCTCAAGAGTACACTGGGGTTTAGTCTCAGGTTTTCCTCTTCTCTTGCTATATTTCCTGCCTGGTGCTCTCAGACACTGAGGATAACGAGCTATCCAATTATGCTTTCGACCCCAAATATCTCTGAACTCATTTGGCTTATGCAAATAAATCCTTAATACCTTTCTTTATCTGGGTGTCCCCAGCATCTCGAACTTAGTATGCAGAAACAGAAATCAAGCTTTTATGACTGCCTCACTTCCCCACAAGAAAACTCCCTTTTCTCAAGTCTCCCCTGTATCATGTGCATAGCTCCCCAGAACTCCTTCCTTCCAAGTGTATGTAGTGGTATACACATTCACCTGGTCTTCCTGGGGTTCCTCTTCCTGTTTATATCCTTCCATTCTCTGTGTTCCATTCCCATGACCCTTCCCAAGACTCCTAAGGATTCTTGCAGCAGCTGGCATCCACGCTTCTACTGTCTTGTCTGTCATTCCAACCTCACTCTTCAGACACAGACAACTTTTTGTTTGCTTTTTCGAGTCAGGGTTTCATTGTATAACATCCCTGGCTTGTCCTGGAACTCATTGTGTAGACCAGACTGGCACAAAGATCTGCCTGCCCCTGCCTCTTGAGTGCTGGGATTAAAGATGTGTGCCTGCTGTATGTTACATTGGACATGGTATACTGACTATGCATTAACCTTCTTTCTCGTGCCCACTCTACTAAAATGAATGTAAAGAATTTAGAAGGTTCTGAGAATTTACCTAACCCACTGATAAAAATAATAAAAGCAGGAATTAGCTGGCATTCAAGACTCCACTGTCCAGCCTCTGCCTGCCACTCTGTCAAGGGCCACCTGCACTCCTAGACAGTCTCTGCGTTCCTGGAGGTATTTCCTGACCATTTCTACATTTCACATTTAGACCCTGTTCTACCTGATCACAGACATCATACTGTGAATACCCATCATCTTGACTATTTTCAGAACACTTTCACTTCACCTTTATTATTGCTGTGTGTGAGGACAGTATGTGGAGTTGGTTCTTTGCCTCCATTTTCATGTGGATCTTTATGTGAGTTCCAGGAATCTAACTCTCAGGTTATCAGCTTAGGTCAGCCCGATAGAACAATATTATATTGACTAGCTCATCTTCTTGTCACTTGTCATCTATGGCTAGCTTTATAGATGGATTAGATAGCATTTAAATGCTTACCAGTTAACAACTTAGCTTCTGGTTTCTGTTATAAGTCTGGAGAACCTGCTGAGATGTTTTTTGTTTTTTTTTTTTAGGTTTTGTTTTGTTTTGTTTTGTCTGTTGTGGGGGGTTGTTTTGTTTTTTAGGACAGGGTTTCTCTGTGTAGCCCTGGACTAGCCTCCCTTGACCTCCTCGAGTGTTGGAATTAAAGGTGGACACCACCATGCCCAGCAACATTCTTAAACTGAAAACAAAACTAAAACCAAGCCACCACAACAAAGGAGTGACAAATCACTAGCAAAACTTGCTCCCAGCATGTAGGAGTGTCACACTGAATACGGACAGCTGGGAACAAACGGGAATGGGTTCTACACCTCTGTGAAATCAAACAGCATAGCCTGAGCCATCATGTCATTTAAACTCCCTAGAAAACTACAAAAGCAGTGGGACAGTAGTAGCATATACTCCTAATCCCAGTACTTGGGAGGCAGAGGCAGTTGGATCTCTGTAAGTTCGAGCCAGCCTGGTCTACTGAGTGAGTTCCATGATGGCCATGACTACACAGAGATGCCATGGAGGGGGCGGCCGGCGCGAGACACGACTAGAAAAACATAAATGAATGGCCAACAAACTTGCAAAGAAATACAGTGAGGAAACAGTATTTTTGTCTATCATATTAGTAAAATATTCTTTTAAAATAATCATACCCTGTTGTTTGTGATCATCCGCCTAAGCCATACAACACAGTGGAGCTGAGAGAGAAGAGACGACATTCATCTAGAAAAGCCTTACCACCACCTTCCTTTCTGAGACAAGGTCCTGCCATGATAGACCAGCCAGACTCCATCTTGAGATTAAAAGCCATCTTACTACAAGGTCAAAATAAGTTCATTCCTGTTTTCTGTAAAACTTGGGTTTGACTATGTCTTGACCTATTTTCTGGAATTTCACATTCCACACCCTATACCCTAACCTCCACCCTGATAAGATGTTCTGCCAGATAATTTTGAAATGTTCTGCCAAGTTCCTACATAACCCAAAATCCTTGAAAACCCCTAAGCCTTGCAGTTTTGGGGCTAATATAAACCCCATATTCTCCCATGTTCAGTGCAATTTTCTCAAACCCCACTTTAGGGAGCTAGCCCTGTCTGACAGAAAATAAAGCTTGCTTGATTTGACCAAAGAATTTGGGTAATGGTCTTTTAGTGAGAATGGTCTTTTAGTCTCATTTAATGAGAAGTGAGAATAGCATGCTACCTGGCCTTTAACTCCTGGAATCATGTAATTTTCTTGACTTGCTTCCAAAGCAGCTGGGACATGGGGTTTGTATCACCTGGGTCACTCACAATCTCTTAAGGATGCACTCTCTAAACCCTTTGCTTTTCTCTTATGATGGAAAGAGCCGTGCTCAATTCTCACCAGCTGAGTACTGACTGGATAGCAGCCACAGGGACAGGAGATTACATCTACAGATCACACAAAGGCTGAAGGATGGCCTGATATACACAGCAAAGACCACATAGTGAGACCTTTGACAACTGACAATGATGGTGACTTTCACTGACACCCTTGTAAGCATATATACACACACACTCATGGATGTTTACACACATACCATTTTAAATCTAAAAATGTATGCCCACAGTTATTAGTGATGGCCCCCAGCATGTACACACACTCATGGATGTTTACACACGTACCATTTTAAACTTAAAAATATATGTCCACAGTTATTAACAATGTTCCCCATGCTGCTCGTAGAGGGTTTTAAACTGTTGTTTTTTGTTTTATTCTTTCTATCTATCAGAATTTGGTTTTGTTGTTTGGGTTTTTGAGATAGGGTCTGACTATGTAGCTCTGGATGGCCTGGAACTTGCTATATACAGCAGGCTGGTCTTGAACTCAGATCTGCCAGCTTCTGTCTCCCAGAGAGCTGGGTCTGAAGTGAGCACCACTTCATTTGGTACATTTATCAATTTTTAGATAGAGACCTATAACCAGAAAGTAGGAAGGAATAGGACATACTCTTCAGCACCGGGGTCAGGTGTCACCCTATGCAGCTCACACACACTCACACACACACCATCCTACCACCACCACCACCAAGGTCAGCTGTTCTTCAGTGTCAGGTGTCACTGGCATCTCTAACTGACATCAGAACTGCTCAGTGTTTCCCCAAATCCCTTTAAAAATTCTATGAAAGGGGCTGGAGAAATGACTCCATGGTTAAGATTACTGCTTGTTCTTGTAAAGGACCTAAGTTCAGTTCCTAGCACCCACATCAAGTGGCTGACAACTGCCTGTAACTCTAGCTTTAGGAGATCCAATACCCTCTCAGGCTTCTATGGGTGCTTATTTGCATGTAGCAGACACAAATACACATTCTCATACAATTCCTTACATATGTACGCCTATCTCCCTACCAACAACAGAAGCCCCACTCTTCATTTATTGTTAAAAAAAAAAAAGACCTGGACATTGCAGCAAATATTTCAAAATATTTGCAATGTTGGTAGTGGTGGCCCATGCCTTTAATCCCAGCACTGGGGAGGTAGAGGCAAGTGAATCTGAGTTTAAGAATAGCCTGGTCTATAGAGTTCCAGGACAGCCAGAGGGCTACACAGAGAAATCCTGTCTTGAAAAACAAAACTACAATTATGAGAGCATATTTCCATGAGATGGATATATAAACAGAAGAGATGCTGATGCTGATTTGTCACTGTAGATGTTGTTTAAACCGCAAGTGCGGACAGACTGCCTCCTCTGCACACCTAACCCATCAGCAACACACTAAAGTTATGAAAGTAAACAGCACTTGGTGAGGCTGGAGAGGGGCTCAGCACTAAGAGCACTTGCTGCTCTTGAAGAGGACCCAGGTTCAGTTCCCAGAATCCACATTTCAGCTCATAACTATCTTTAAATCCAGCCAAGTGATCCAATACCCTCATTTGTTTGTTTGTATTTTGGTTTTTTGAGACATGCTTTCTCTGTGTAACAGCTCTGGCAGTCCTGGAACTCACTCTGTAGACCAGACTGGCCTCGAACTCACAAAGATCTGCCAGCCTCTGCCTCCCAAGTGCTAGGAGCAGTTAAGAGAACTGGCTCTTCTTCTAAACTATCAGAGTTTGTTCCTAGTACCCATATGTTGGCTCACAGCTGTCTATAACAGTTCCAAGGAATACAAAACCCTCTTCTGGAGAGAGGGGAGAACAGAAGGGATCGAGAAGGCCGAGCTGGGGTAAGGACAGAGAGTGAGAGCATGGAAAGACATATCTTGATAGAAGAAGCCATTATAGGGTTAACAAGAAACCTGACATTAGGGAAATTTCTAGGAATCCACAAGAATAGCCCCAGCTAAGAATATAAGCAATAGGGCTGGAGAGATTGGCTCAGGGGTTAAGAGCATAAGCTGCTCTTTTAAAGGTCCTGAGTTCAATTCCCAGAAACCACATGGTGGCTCATAACCATCTGTAATGAGATCTGGTACCCTCTTCTGTTCTACAGGCATACATGCAGGCAGAACACTATACATAATAAATAAATAAATCTTTAGTAACAAAAGAATATAATACCCACATTCCCAAGTGGTGGGGTGGATTTTAAAAAAAAAAATCTAAGGAATAGTAGACAGGGTACCTTAACTGGCCTTCCCATGTGATCAGATTGATGACTATCTTAATTGACATCATAGAACCCTCATCCAGAAACTGATAGAAGCTGATCCAGAGATCCACAACTAAACACTGGGCCAAATCCTGGAGTACAGTTGAAATGAGGGATGAGTGATAATATGAACAGCGGGGTCAAGACCATGAAGGGGAAACCCACAGAATCAGCTGACCCGAACTAGTGGGAGCTCACTGATTCCAAACTGACAACTAAAGAACCTGCATAGAACTAACTGAATAAACTTGGCCCTGTGAAGGCAGGTGACAATGGTGGGGCTTGGGCAGTGTGTGGCAGTAGGACCAGGATCTAACCCTAGAGCAGGAACTGGCTTTGTGAAGCCAATTCTCTATGGAGAGATACCTTGCTCAGCATGGGGGGGGGGGGGGGGGTGGGGCTGCCCCAACAAGAAGATGGGACAGACTTAGTTGACTTCCCAAGGGAAACCTTACCCTGTCTGAGGAGCAGATGGGGTGGGGTGAGGAGAAGATGAGGGGAGCAGGAGGAGAGGAGGGAGGGAAAACTGGGATTGGTTTGTAAAAAAGAAAAAAAAACCCACAACCCCTTCTGGCCTTCTGGATGTGCACATGGTGCACAGATATGCATGCAGGCAAACACCCATAAACATAAAATAATATTTTTAGAATGAAGTTAAACTAAAAAATTAAGCAGCGTCTTAAAAATGGTTGTAATTTCATTAGATCTTTTCTTTGGCTGTAGGAAAACAAGATACAAATATGCACTTTCTCACAAGGGATACAAAGGTAAACAGAGTCCTGTTCTAAGCCTATGTTTGTCTTCATGAATATGCAAATGTAAACATACTTATTGGCAACTCTTCCATTTCCACATTAACTGCCACTCACCTGATTCACAAGCTCAGGGATGCCCAAGGCCCTGTCAATTTCCTCCAGGCCTGTGGCATCTGTGTTGCTCAGGAGTGTGTGCAGCTGGTCCAGCAGGGCTCTTTCATCACTCTGGCCTTCTGGGTTAGAAGGCGGTCCAAGTAGATCATCCAGAGAATTTCTAAGAAGAGGCCTAGAGAGAGACTTGAGTCAGCTTTAATGACGCTGGACTGGAGTTGATGAGAGCCTGCATTCCACACCCAAGACCACAAAAAAAAGCAAACGAGTTTTAATAGTGCTCTTTTGTTATTGTTGTTTTGTTCAGGCTGAAGTTTTCTGAGAATCTCACTAAATTCCTTAGTCTAACCTCAAACTCACATCCATCAATCTCTCCTGTTTAGTGCTAAATGTGAGACTTACACAATGCTCGTATTAACATCAAAGTAAAAGTAACCACTATAAAATAAGTATGGGTGGGCAATTCAAGACAGAATTCCTCTATGTTAACAACAACCTTAGCTGTCCTGGAATTCACTCTGTAGACCAGGCTAACCTCAGACTCAGAGATCCACCTGCCACTGCCTCCTGTGGTAAGGATGGGAGCAAACTGTTACACCTTGTTTTTTGTTTGTTTGTTTTGTTTTTTTAGGAAAAAAAAGATTGTGAGTTCATTCTGTGTTTTATTTTTAATTTGTTTAATAAACTACCTACCACTAAGCAACATCCCTTGCTCACATCTTCTTTTTAAAAAAATTGTGTGTGTCAGTCCAGTCTCAAAAAACAAACAAACAAAAAAAAAAACAAGCAGAAATTTAATTTTCAGGGGCTGGAGAAGATGGCTCAGCAGTTATGGGTTCAGTTCCCAGTATCCAGATGGAGGCTCAGAACAATGTGTGACTCTCCAGGTGCGAGATGATGCCCTCTTCTGGTCTCCCTGTGCACAGCACATACAGGATGCAGAGGCATGAAGGCAAAACGCCCATACATATTTTTTAAAATAAGTAAATAAAACCTTTAAAATTGATTTTCAGAAGAATTGAGACACAGTATCAGAACACCACTTATAAAGCAGTGAGAGCATGTCTTTACCGTCCCTTGGGAGGTTATTGTTATGAAAGGCTTCGCCTCACAGAAAGGCCCTTTTGAAGGCTTAGCTGTACTTCTGTCTCCTCACCCGTCCCAGGAGACTCTGGTTGCTGCCTCAGCAGATGGCAAACAGTCAACTATAACGTTTCTCACAGACTCTTTCAGAACTGTTCCTGTTCAGACTCTTAAATCCAATGCAAACATTTCCCACATCACAATATAAAGCAATACCTATTTTGAGTCCCATGAGGACTCTGTTCCATAGACAGCATTCCCTCTGGCCAGGAACCTGGTTGGTTAGATGGTGCTGCTTGACCATAGGGGTTGACCCCCATTCCCATGGGAATCTCACCAGTTCCTGGGGGATCAAAACCAGAGCATGAATTTTCCAAGAACCCAAAAGCAAAAACTGCCATAAAACTTTCCATTTTCCTTTTTTTTTAAAGGAAATGGACAACTTACTCATTTGAAGCATTTGTTGCTGGTGTTGTTGCTGCTGCTGCTGCTGCAACGTTGGTCTTGCACCTGGCATTCTATTAGAACGAAGAGGCAAGGTAGGCACTGAGCCCCCCATGGCAGGTCTTGGCAAAGCGGCACTGTAGTCTCCTGCTCTTCCCAGGGCACTTGATCCCACAGGTTCCATTCTGCTGGCCTTTGAGTTAGCTAAGCCCCACTCTCCTGGGGAAGAAGTCTGATTCACAGCAACATTTCTGTTTGGTCCTCCTAAAAGAGGTAGAACTCATGAAGTCTCACTCAAAGCATAACAAAGTCTTCATGTACAGGGAGAGTCACTATATACAACAGTGGCTGGGACAGACCACTGTCATCCTTAGAGCAGGGCTGGCCAACTACAAAGACAGTATCTAGAAGCCACTACTCTCACACATTCATTACTGGTTAGATAGAAATCCTGAACCAATGAAATATTTAAAAGTTTAAATAATCAAAACATACAACAAAGGAGAGACACCTATGAAAGGAACATTATATTAATAATAATATTTTAAAGATATTACTTGATTTCAATGTTTAAATGTTTTCTGTATTTTAAAGGTGCTTCAAGGAAATCACTACACTTAGAAATAACCTACCCATATTGGCACCGTAATTCTCCTGACTCTCCATCATCCTTGAATTCCCAGTCAGTGTGGGCTGTTTTGGTAACACGGGAAAAGCACTGACATTCTTCACTGGAGGACCTGAGCCAACGGGAACAGGGCTATCTAGAGACACAGCGCGGTTATACGGAGGACGAACAGGCTGCACAGGCTGTGGACTTCGCAAACCTGTTGAAAACATAGAAGTTTACGACATTAATAGTCCTTGCTAACTCAATATGTAAATAATCAAGTGCAAAAAACAAGCACCACTAAGCCCCACACAAAAACTCTTTCTCATAAAAACAAACACTACCATCTTCTTTTACAAAGTAAGTTATGCCAAAAAGAAAAGAAATAAAAAATCCCGAATTCCAAATAAAGTACAAACAATAATCTGCATGTTGGCTGAAGTGCCGGCACTCAGCTGTAACCTAATATGGTCATGCATGATGTCCTTATTGAAGTGCCAGGTCCCAGGCTGATGAGCAGTGTGGTTCAGTGGCCCATGTTTAGCATGCATGAAGCCCTGTGTGCAGATTCCCAGCAACACAAAGCAAGGAGGAAGATGGAAGGAGAAAAGTACATCCATGTTTTTAATTCCTAGAGACTCTTCCACACATGTACTTAGATGTATATTCTCGACTCAGAATTTTACAATAAGTAAACTGTTAAGCTGCCTTCCAAATCGAATAGGTAATAAATGTATATTTTTTTCTCAACCTTTTTCTTTGTCCAACCTCTTTGACTCTCTGACTGTCCATTTCCATTTAGGAAACAGTACAATTGAAAACAGTGAGACTCTGAGGGGTGGGAGGGGGACACTTCTAGGTATGATTTTAAGGCCAGGGCTACACAGATACCCTTTCTCAAAGACAGAAAGAGGGTAGGAGGACGGAAAAAATATAAAGAAACAAAGGGGAGGGGGGGAGAAGAGGGTAGAAATAATTTGCAAGACTATAAATTATTCTTTGGCTCATGCAACACACCCTTAGTAAAATAGTGAATAAACATACTACAATAGGGAAGAATTCGTGAGGGAGGACAGAGAGAAGAGTCAGAGTCTCATGGTTAAACAAGATTCTTTAAGTACCAGGTATGACAAGAATTTAATTCAATTTTCATCTTTTAACCCAATTCTCCATGTATATATACATAAAAAAAAATCTTCCCCGGGGAACAAATGGATTCTCTAGTATCATGGCTACTGATACATTAGAAGGGGAAGATAAAAGGAGGCACTGCGATAGCGAGCAGCCAAGATACCTGCTGCCAAGCCAGATGACCTAAGTCCCACCCCCAGGACTCACATGGTATAAGGGGAGAACCAGCTTCCACAAGCTGACCTTGACCACACATATGCTGTAGTATGAGCATGTACACATGCATACACATGCATACACACAAAATGAAACTAGATGTAATTTTTAAAAAGGAAGCGGGGACAGGAAAAGAACTAACACAGACAATAGCAATGAGTGTAAGAACTCAGAAAGGAAGAGGTTGTGTTCTTAAGTTCGGTGCTATTGATTCCTGGTCTTGGTGTAATAGAACATGCCACTGTGTCGAGAAGCTTCTAAACAAAAGTTATCAGGGTGTTTGGGACATGGAGTTAAGAGCATAAGTCCCTGCCCAGCCTAGGCTTCCTCAGAAAGACCCTGTCGTGACCCTTCCACCCAACTTCACCCCTCAAAAAAGAAAAACTCTGGTTCTTCCTTACCCAGAGAACTTGGTCCTGCAAACACCTGCTGCTTGGTCCCTGGATGGCTGCCATTTGTAGATACAGGATTGTTGTAAAACTCGGAACTAGTCAAATCACCAAGAATAGCATCTAGATTATCCAAGTCTCCAGATACCTGAAAATGACATTTTCAAATTATCCTGCATGGGATACCAGTTGCAGCTATCAAGGCATCAGCAAAAGAAACATGACCAAACAGGAACCCACTAAAACACAGCAGTGACATAAGCATGTGGTTCACACTCCGGTTCCAGGATATGTACCAGGCTGCTATAGATCTTCAGAATCTGATCTTAGAATCCCTAAAAACCAAATCTATCGCGTAAATTGCCTCACTCTAAGCCTGAGATAATACTTCAAAAATCACATCCACAACAACAGCTTCTGTTGCAAAAGAGAGAGAACAGTTCTAGTGGTAAGAACCCAGAGACAGACAGTGAGATCCTCTCTTAAAACATAATCAACCAGGTTGGGTAGTGGTGGCACACACCTTTAATCTCAGCACTCGGGGGGCAGAGGCAGGTGGATCTCTGTGAGTTCCAGGTCGGCCTGGGATACAAAACAAATTCCAGGACAGCCAAGGCAGTTACACGGAGAAACCTTGGGGGGTTGGGGGGGGGGGGTTGGGGAAATCAACCTAACAAAAACCCACAGGGGATACCTGCAATAACAATGTTCAGATCAAAGGCTGCTTTCCTACAACCTCACCCCATCTCTGCCTTCACTGCACGGATAGCTACTCGATAAATCACTGGACTTCAACGCAGCACTCTTTGCTCTGACACTATTTTCCTGCCACAGCTGCTGAGGAAGGTTCAGAGCTGGCAGAAACCTGCATCTACACATAACTTTTCTAAAATGCACCAGTACGTGGTATTTCACGAAGCATTCACAGGTATGCAGATGCGACGAGGAAGGCCCTAGGAAGTGCTAGTCTTTCCCCTCTCCCTAAAGGGTGCTTTCTCAAAGTCAGTGAGATGCACAATTAGAATGTGTTAATATGCATGAACTCTGACTAGAGGGAAAAACTATGCTGTTAAATCAAAACTTTCCTAATAATGTCTACCGTGTCCTTAACAACACAAGGTACCCATTCCAACATAACCACTTCCATGAAAAAACTTCAAACTTGGCCTCTCCAGACTTATTTATCAGACCAGGAAAATGGCACAGCAGGTGAAGGTGCTGGCCTTCATACCTGACTGACAACCCGAGTTCAGTCTCCAGTTCCACACTGGAAGGAGTACAGACTCCTGAAGACTGCCCTCTGTCACAGGCATGCTGTGGCATGCTGCACCAAACCCTCCCCCCATACACACACACATACACACACTCACACCCACCCTATAATAAATCAAGGTTATATAATAAATGTTACTAGAGGAGACTGGAGAGATGGCTCGGTGGTTGTTAAAGAGCACTGGCTGCTCTTCCAGAGGTCCTGAGTTCAATTCCCAGCAACCACATGGTGGCTCACAACCATGTGTAATGAGATCTGGTATCCTCTCTGGCCTGAACACAGAACACTGCATACAAAATAAATAAATAAATCTTTAAAAATGAATAAATGTTATTATAATAAATGTAAGCTCAAAGTTATCCTTAAATTTAAAACTATTGGTGGTATTGCCAAATCTTGTTTAAAACACAGAGAAGAAACATGACGAAGAGCTGAGCAGGGCACCTACCTCCTCACTCGTCTCTGTCTTAATTTTGGACTCTTTGTCTTGGCTGGAGCTGGGATTTGTGGAGCTGCTGCACTGGCTCAGTTTACTGTCACCCCCATCCGTTTGGGGCTGTAGCTCTTTTGCAAGGGAGTCACTGGGGTCATCCCTGTCCAACAGGTATCTGAGAAGGGCATTATTTTCCTTCTTCTTGGGACTCAGCTGTTCCTGCCTGACAGCCCCTTCTCCACAAGAAGCAGTACTACTAGTAGTGTCTTTTCCAGTGGCTTCTGCAGTGATCTTGGCGACTTCCGCTGGTGAGTTGCCATTCTGCAACAACTTATGCAAAATCCTGTGTTTCTCTTGCAACAGAGACCCATGCACGTTGGAGGTGGAAGATACTGCTCCTGATGTCGAGGAGGACACTCCAGAGGGACTGGTGACACTAATGGAAGAGTCTTTGCAATTTGAATCCAGGGGGGAGTTGGTCAAGGAGGAATGGCCTCGGTCATCAGAAGAGCACGTCAGTAGCTGCAGCAGTTTCTTGTGGCCTTTGCTTTCCATGGGACCCCTTTGAGTCTCCGACCCCTCCCCACTGGTCTCCTTGCTTTCTTTGTCACTGGGGTGCTCCCTGTTATTTGACTGACACACTGAACTCTCCACTGGGTTCTGGTCACAGTATAAGCCTAGGGGACTCTTAGAATCCTGCCTGCTCACTTTACTTGGTTGATTTACACTCATATTGGGAGAGTTATCCAATTTGGGGCCTGGTGAAGACAGAGTAGATAAAAGAGAAGTTCCCACACCCTCACTGATGGCTTGCAAGGCACTGAGGGAGCTGCTGGAAAAGCTGTGACTCCCTGTAGTGCCAGCAGATCCCATGGGAGAGTGCACACCTGCATGTAGAGAAAATCAGGAGACAGTCAGACATGCTAAGAAAACAACTTCAAAGATCCTATGACAAAGAATGACAATGGCGTGGGCAGAAAGCCCAAGCAAAGCAGACCCTACTGCAGATACCTGCAACAGGAGAGAACTGCTGTGAGGCCACCTTCGGGCTCCCGCGGTTACGAGGAGAAATCATGATGTTTTGCTGGTTGGGGCCGAGACCAGGACTGCCGTGAGGGGGGCTGCTCATGTTGAGCCCATAGCTGCTGTTCTGGTAGGAAGATGGTGACTGCAGGCTTTGTCCTGGGGTCAGCGAGGCTAGGCTGCTGGAAGGTCCATACCTAGCTCCGCCCATCTGCCCCGCATTGTTGGGGTCTGCCACACCATAGGTCCTGCTGCCCAGCGCCTGCATGTTCTGATTGGGAGACACACTCATGGTGCACCCTGCTGCAGGAGGCCGGATGCCTTGTCCTACAGAATTTGGATTCGGTCTATATCCATTCTGTTCTCTGCAAAGAAACACATCAGGTTTTGACTTTTAAAACTGCAGCAATGCAGAAAGGAAAGGCAAAAGGGGAAGGGAGTGGAGGGAAGTGCTCAGGAGCACATACTAGGTGTCACTCCAGTACCAATTTGGGTGCTGATCACCACGTCAAGCCTTGCTTTTCTTCCTTTTTAATTTTATGTGCATGTGTGTCCTTTCACCATATGCATGCCGAGGGCCTGTGAAGGTCAGAAGGCATCAGGCCCTGGGAACTGGAGTTACAGATAGTTGTGAGCTGCCGTATGGATGCTATGAATCAGGTCCTCTGTAAGAGTAAGTATTCCTAATACCTGAGCAGTCCATCTTTCTAGCCCCTACTTGTCCTGTTTTTTCCAAAACCCACTTTTTATTGAGACAGGGTATCACTAAGTTACCCAGGTTGGACTTGAAATCATTAACACAGTCAGAATCTGAGATCCTGTTGCCTCAGCCTCCCATGAACCTAGGACTACAGGTCTCTATACCACCAGGCCTGAGTTTGGGGATTTGTTTGAGGGTTTTATTGTTGTTGTTTATTTGAGATGCATCCCATGCAGCCTAGGGTAGCTTTGATCTCACTACTATGAAGCCAAAGGTTTCCTTAAACTTACCTTCCTGCCTTTCCCTCCCAAGTGCTGGGACTCACAGAACACCACCATACCCAGTTTCTACTGTGCTAGGAATCTAACCAGGGCTTCCCGCGAGGCAGGCACTTTACCAGCTGAGCTACAGCCCTAACCCCTAGCAGTTTTAAATGAGTGAGTGACACTGAGCGGCTCTAAGAGCCGTGGTCTCTGGAGCCAGGTATCCACTATTCTCAAACACACCACCACCCTTCCCCTCATCCTCCACACCCCACACCCTAGTCTTACCTAGGAAGCAATTATTTAGTGGAAAATACTAACTTTTATATAAAAAATATAACCTTAAAGAATTTTCTAAGAATCTAAATTTACCTCATGGAATCCAACAACTTCCCTGCCTTTTCTCCCTTTGCACATCAGCAGCAAAGCGTCCTGAGGATGAGGGTGCATTTAGTGTCCTCACCTCTGGAGAAAGTGGGTTGAGACGAAGCCATGACGATCATTGGTTACAGGATTTCGGAAAAGCTTGCTTTTTGTCTGCGCACTCACAATAGTTCCATCCGCCAAGGAGAAGCGATATACTGGGGTTTCTGCGTGGCCATGGATATAAGCTATTGGGGAAAAGGACACTGTCACTGCTACCTGAGACTAGACCAATGCATACAGAAACAGGAAAGAATCGTGTTTCAAGCACAAAACTTTGTAAGTCGCGTGGACATGCACAAAAGTAAAGAACAGCTATGCTCAATCATCATTCCCCATCCCACAACCACACAGCAGGCCAAGTGCTGTGCACACAGTGACTACTTTACAGCATCATCCACCACAGCACCAAGATCGACTCAAATGCCTTTACCTTCTTGATAGTGACGCTTCTGGGACCATGAATGCCCATCATTCTGACTGAAGAATCTCTGGATACACCTTCGGATGGTATCTTCAAAGCCAGGTCTCATGGAAGATCTAAGTGAGTTTGTATCTATATTGACAACCTTTCCTATTAAAGATAAAAACAAAAGATTTCAACCCTGCCCACAAATACCTACTGCACTTAGCTCTGACTAGCACTTGTGAGATAAAGGATGAATCTCAGCCCTGCCTACTACCCTTACCACACAGCGGGAAGCTGAGGGCAGTCTACCTGTCCTGCTGTGGATGGAACCGCACACACCACCTGATTCTAGGCACAGCTCCTAGTAAGAAGCATGCCACTGTTCTTGATGCGCCTTTATAAAGTGCCACTGTTCTTGATGCGCCTTTATAAAGAACAGGTGTCGTCTTTGTAGTCAGGAAAGTCTTGGATGAAATGGATTTTTAAATGCTAGTCACTAAAGTGCTTAAAGAAATTTAATTTAGCTATTTAGAAGAGAAAGACTGTCAACTCATGGATAAAATAGAGGAGAAAACGAGAGTAAATGCTCAAGAAGGACTGATTCCAAAAAATCAAATAAAAATATATGCCCCTGGGATGTGGAGACAGCTCTGTCACTAAAGTGCCAAGAAGATCCACATTCAATTCTCAGCACCCAAAAAAAAAAAAAGCTAGGTGGAATGGCACAAACTTGTAATCTCAGAGCTGAGCAGGCAGAGAAAGGAAGATGGGAGGCTGGTCAGCCTACCTAACTGCATTAGGTTCAGTGGGTCTTTAAAGATGGGAGGGGTGCTCTGGAAAGTTACTAAGAGCACTGGCTGCTCTTGCAGAGGACACAGGTTCAACTCCCAGCACACACATGGCAGTTCACAGCCATCTGTAACTCCAGCCACAGGGGATCCAACACTTTATTCTATACACTGGCAAAACACCCATAACATAAAGTAATTAAGGAACAATAACCAAGGTCTTTTAATTCAGGATTCCTAGAGCCAAAAAGCAAATCAAAGTAGGGGTTCTACATCGGAGTTTCAGGTCAGCAAGTGCTCCATTGCCTTTTTTTTTTAAATAAATAAATAGATAAATAGATAAATAAATAAATAAATAAGTTTTTTAAAAAAAGTGTAAGAAAACCAAACCTCATGTTTATGACAAGAACTACTCTCCAAGCTGGAGAGATGGCGGAGAGGTTAAAAGTACTGGTTGCTCTCACAGGACATGGGCTGGGTTTCCAACACCCATATGGCAGCTTACAAACATTATAACCCCAGTTCCTAGAGATCCAGTGCCATCTTCTGGCCTCAGGGTAACCAGGCACACCATGGTGCACAGACATTCATTTAGGCAAAACACAATTGCATATAAAATAAAAATAAATTACCCTCATTATTAGAAATTTTATGTATTTTTGAAAACTTGTTTCACTATAATAAATGACTTTGAAGTTACAGGAAAATAAATATTAAATTCTCACACAAAATGCTATTTTGGGGGCAGGAGAGATGGCACACTGCCACTGATCCTGATGATATGAGTCGGATACCCAGGGCCTACATGATGGAGAACACAAACTCTTCTACATTGCCCCTGACCTCCCAGCTACATTACAGGTCATGTGCACATGCACTCTATGTGTGAGTGGATGGATGAATGGATTTTTCTTTCATGTTTTTAAGTTTTTCGTTCTCTGTGTTGTGTGTGTTGTGTGGTGTGGGTGTGTGTGTGAATGTAAGCCATGTTTGAGGCTAAAAAAAGACATTGGATTCCCTGGCGCTAGAAATACAGGCAGTTGTGATCTGCCCTACATGGCGCTGGAAAGAAATCTAAGTCCTATGGAAAAGCAGGTGAGATTAACCCCTAAGCCTTCTCTCCAGGTCCATAAATCAATGTTTTCGGAAAGTGCTATTTGGCCTGGTGGTGGTGGTAGAGCACACCTTTAGTCCCAGCACTTCGAAGGCAGAGGCAAACAGATCTCTGAGTTCGAGGTCAGCCTGGTCTGTGGAACGAGTTCCAAGACAGTTAGGGCTACACAGAGAAACCCTGTCTGGAAAAACAAAAACAAACAAACGAGGGGAGAACAGGGCGGGGAGGGGGTGTATTTGAACAAAGGGCCAGGTGACTTTATGTTGTTTTTTATTGTTTTTTTTTTAATCTTTTATTTTGGGAAATTTTAAGTGTCAACTATATTCAACTCTATTGCCAAGGTCCTTAGTGAAATTCTTTTACAGTCATTTAATAAACCCAAACTGGGCTGAAAGCTGGCTCTCAGCAGGTGAAGTGCTCACTGATGACGTACGTTCCATGCTTGCAGCACATGCATGGGAGAGGAGTTTCCTTCTGACTAGTGCATGTACTCATGTACACACAGAACCAACAGAAGTAAGATTGCTTTCTAACAGTTTCCAGGGAAGGCACCCAAGGCTGGCTTTACCTGAAAGGTCATGCCTGGTGATAAAGCTCTCAGGACTTGATGGGAATGTCCTTTCCCCCGTAGTCACTCGGCGTGCCACGCAGATCATACAGCACTGCAAGTCTACAAATGACAAAGGTAATCAGGTCGGGTTACATGCACTTTTAGATATGATTCGTCAGCAAGAAGACAGGCCAGCATTCCTGACTCTTACCTTCCCCTTCTTCCAGCATAGCTCGAGGCTGAGACAGGGCGAAGCACTGCATTGTCTCATATCTCTGGCGAGTTTCAGGACTGGCATTCATGTCTTCCAAAATATCGTGTGTTTTCATCAACATACGACAGTTAAATGTATGGCTTTTTTGTCTCTGGGTCTCGTTATTCCAAGAAACTCCATTAACTTTTAGAAAAAAATTAAAATTTGAAAATAAATTGAATTATTTTTTAGGAGCCAGGTAAAACTCAGTCAAAAATTATCAAGAATTCAAGCTATGGTTGGGGCCAGAGAGATAGCTTAGCAGTTAAGAGCATTTGTTGCTCTCTGAAGGACCCATGTTTAGTTCCCAGTACCCACATGATGGCACACAGTCATCCATAACTCCAGTTCCAAGGGATCTGATGCCCTCTTCTGACCTTGGGCATGCATATGACACACAAACATGCATGTAGGCAAAACACTCATCAGACACGCAAAATCTTTAAAAATTCAAGCTAGGGACTGGAGGGATGGCTCACTGGCTAGACTAAAGGGGTGGCTCACTGGTTACGAGCAGATGTTGCTCTTCCTGAGAGGACCAGAGTCTTGTTCCCAGGACCTGTATCAAGTGGCTCCCAAGCACCATTAACTCTGGCTCCTGGTGATCTAATGCCCTCTACTGGCCTCCAACCACACTGCAGTTACACATGGCATACATTGACATAGACATGATTTTTTAAAACTCTTTAATGCAGATGGTAAGTTGTGGTGCATGCCTTTTAATTCCAGCACTTGAGAAGCAGAGGCAGGAGGATCTCTATGAGTTCCAGGCCACCCTGGTCTACAAAGTGAATTCCAAGACAGGCAGGATTGTTACACAGAGAAACTCTGTCTTGAGAACAACAAACAAACAAAGAATCCAAGCTATAAACTGAGTGTGGTAAAGCATGCTGCTGGCCCAGCTTCTAAGAAGACTCAAACAAGCAGACTGGGGAGCAGCCTGGGTAACTCATGAGACTCTATGTAGACAACAGAAAAAGAATCCAGCTGTTTTCTCATCACACAAACTGCCATGTGGTGTCACCTACAAACTAACATTTCAGAACAACAATAAAAATGTTTGCATAAGTTCAGCCTCACCAGAAGTCCCACTGGACATCTGGGCCCCTGGGAAAACTTTTGAGTCTGCTGAGGCCATATTGAAAATGTTGCTGGTAATCACTTGTTAAGTCTCGGTTCCTGGCTTCCTAAAAAGCACATTCAAATTCTTAAGAAATAACTAAGAAAAAATTAGATGTACTTAGAAGATACACATTTATATGCAATATGTGTAGCCAGGTATGGTAGGCACACACCTATAATCCAACACATGAGAAAAAATCGGGGGATCATGAGTTCAAGGCTAGCCTGGACCACCCAGTGAGACCCTGTTTCTCTCTCCCTCTCTCTCAAACAATATACAAAACAAAGAGCGCACCTGTAGATTTGGGTAAGTGTTTAAGGAAGTCCTTCCGGTCCTGCTCATGTAAGATGCTGTAGACACTCGTATTAACCAGGTCCTCCTGCTTGTACTGAAGATACTGTGTGACATTTTCTGACACAAATACAATGTTGCCATCTCGATTGACCACAAACAGAAAACCATCCAATGCCTACAGTGGGACACGTTAATAGAGGCTATTATGAAAACTGTATCCCTGTGGCCCCAAAACAGTAAAGCCCTTCATCTCTTTCTGCAAGGGTTAGGGTTAGGTTAGGATTAGGATTACATTTAGGGCTAGGTTAGGGTTATCCTTAGGGTTAGGGTTAGGGTTGTATTTGCAAATAGAGCCTTTAAAGAGTCAGTAAGTATTAAAGTTGACCCAATTCAGTACAAGTGGTGTTCTATAAGGACAGATAACAAGACACCAGGGACACACACTCAGAGAAAAGGCCATTTTAACGCATGGAAACAAGCCAAGGAGAGAGAACTCAGGAGAAGGCAACCTGGTCACCACCCTGATCTTGGACTCCAGTTTTCAAAACTGAAGAAATCAGCTCCTGTTGCCTAACCACATGCTCTGGGCTATCCTATCACTGCAGCCCTAGCAGACCAAGACTACAGCCTTCTTGGTAAATAAAACTTCAAAGGGGAAAAACCAACACTAGCCTAATAATCAGAGTGAACTACAAACTATCACTTCTATTAACAGACTATTAGCATGATTATTCCAGAGCCTATAAAGGATTTTTTTAAAAGAGAGGGGGAAGAAAAGAAAAAAAAAGTAGAGCAGGGCATGACATAGCACACAGCTTGAACCCCAACATTCAGGAGGTAGAGGCAGGAGCTGAGGTCACCTTAGGCTATCTAGCAAGTTGAAAGACAGCCTGAGCTAACATTACACACTGTCAAAAATAAATAAAGCTTTCTGCCTGATCCCAAGTTAAATTATAGGAATTATCATACTGTCCCTGAACAAGCGTGTAAAAAGAATTTAAAATGATAAAACACAAAAGTAGTTGAGATGACTCACTGAAAGAAAGACTGGTTGTCAAGTAAACTCGCTGAAGCGCTCGCCGGCCTGAAGTAGCACTGCGCCATGGTTAATCAGCTCTTCTCAAGGCAATTACTTTAAAAACATGCACATGTTTAATGTTTGAAATTGCCTCACAAGCTGGATGCAGCTCCATCACAAGAGCATTTGCCTAGCATGCATGAGGTCCTGGGTTCCCTCCCCAGCACCATGAATAAAATTCTCCAAGAATGTACAGAGCTGAGGGCTGAGGTTGTCACTTGGTGGAAACATGCTTGCCTACTGTGGTCACCTAGCATGTGCAGTTCAATCTCAAGCATAAAAAAGAAAAAGTAAAACTGTAGTGTGCTGTGCAAACAATTATGGAAAAAGTCACAGAAGGGTCTGAACTAAAATACACCAAGTAGCACCTCTGGATGCTGGTGACCTGTGAGTTTACGAGCTACTCTTCCTCAGGAACTTCTTGTGTGCGTGCGCCACACCCCCCTCCCGTGTGTGTGTGTGTGTGTGTGTGTGTGTGTGTGTGTGTGTGTGTGTTATTTTCAGAACTATGTATTTGTGATTACTATAAGAATACTGAGCTATTTTCTCATTGCCAGCACCCCCTGCATCCACCCTGTATATACCAAATGGTAAAACAACCAAATCACAGCATGCTCTGGACAGCTACAATCTTCACACCTACCTGTAGTAAAAGTGGTCCTAAGGAGTCTTTATCAATGACCGCCTGTCCTGTAGAAGACACATCAGCTTTCTGAACATCATCATCACTGGAAATAGTTTTTCCTGAAGACACAGAAGGAAGCATCGCAGTGAGCAGCACTTACTTCAATGTATGCACGCACAGTGTGGAGTAGGAAGCATGTAACACATATACATGTACACATACATGCAGATCACTCAGTGTATGTATGTATGTAAGAGAATAACACAACATTATCCAGCTTCATGGTTCCCCATGAAGGCAAAAGGCACTCAGCTCCCTTTCTGCTTAAGGTGCCAGTCTTTAGGCCCGGCTCCCCTCCCACCAGCATGTGGCATGCTGAGGATCACTGGTCTTCTGTCACTTCTCTGGTAATTGTTTCTAAAAGGTAAAGTTGGTCACTCCAGGGGCTTTGGGGGTGATTCTTGCTTAGCATGAGCGAGGCTCTATTCAATCCCCGTGACCCAACATGTGGGAAGGAGGTGTTTCCTGACTTTGTTATTACCTTGCTCTTTTATCTGACGTATCTGTCTCACTGTTTCCTTTAAAATCGCACATTTATCTGGCTTGACGTTGAAATTGTCAATATCACTAAGATTTGCAGATATCAGCTCAGCCAGTTCTTCTATGTATTTGCTCTCCTGCTCCCGTCTCCACTTTTCACCACTGTAGGCAAGACTGGAAGAGAAAGAAAAGCCACAGCTCACATCTCTCAAGAAAGCTTCAAGTAGAATCTGCCCATAGAATGTCATTAGTTCCATGTGGAAACAAACAAAATTCAGCCAACAACAACTGTCAGAATGTAACGGGACAAAAGCATACACTGCAGAAATTCCTGAAGCTTCATTCAACGCTACCTTTGATTAGTCACTGGCCTTGACAAAAATCAACCCCAGTTCCTCCATCTAAAAAATGGAGACAAATCACCTACCCCTGTCCTGGAGCATCACAAGGCAATTTGCGTTTTCGAGACTCAGTGGCCAGTGGATCCAAGGAGCTTTCACCTAAGCCACTCATCTTGAACACAGATCCAGCAACTAAGAAAGAAGAGGTAACAAGATAAGCACTAAAACATGCATTTCCTATGCGAGTGTCATATGACAGAATGGCTGCATGCTGTGGTCCGAAGGCCTTTTTCAGTGTACGTGTTATGGATGAGTGTGCTCACACAAGCTCAGAGCTTAGCTGCACTGTAACCATGCTGGGCCTGGTGATGCAAGCCTGTATCCAGCACTCAGAAGGCTGAGACAAGGGTTCTAGGCAAGTCCAGTGTGATGGCTTATAAAAAAAAAATGGTCCCCAAAGGGAGTAGCACTATTAGGGGGTGTGGTTTTGTTGGAGCAGGTATGGCCTTGCTGGGAGTAGTATGGCACTGTGGAGGCAGGCTTTGAGGTCTCATATATGCTCAAGCCACACCTCATGTTTCAGGCCATGTCTGCTTGTCTGCCGGTTAAGATGTAGGACTCTCAGCTACTTCTCCAGCACCACGCCTATCTGCACACCACCAAGATGATAATGGATTAAACCCTGAAAATATAAACTACCCCAATTAAATGATTTTCCTTCTTAAGAGTTGCTATGATTATGGTGTCTCTTCACAGCAATAGAAACCCAAACTAAGACACCTGAGACGAGTCTGAACCACAGAGTAAAACCCTGTGTCAACATACATATCACAAGATAAATTATATCTAATAAGAGACTATCAAAACTTCAATCTAGATAAAATTCTAAATTTCATTTATATCCAAGTTGAAGAGATAAAATCTTATCCTGCGGTTTGGTAAGAACTCTTCAAACTGAGCAGCAGTGGTATACATCTTTAATCCCCGTACTCAGAAGGCAGAGGCAGGTAGATCTCTGTGAGTTTGAGGCCAGCTTGGTCTACAGAGCTAGTTCCAGGACAGCCAGAGCTACACATAAAAACTCTTTCTCAAAAAAACAAAAAACAACAACAACAAAAACCTCCTCAAGTGGTGACTCCAGACTAGACTAGTCAGAATTTTTTTAATATTTATTTTTATTTTCTGTGCAAAATAAAAAAATTGACTTTCCCTGCATGTATATACATGCACCATGTGTGTGCAGCGCCCACTGAGGTGAAAAAGGATGTCAGTCTCCTGGAGCTGGAGCGAAGGTGGAGTGGGTGTGCTGGAAACAGGACCCGTGGCCTCTGTCCGAGCAGCCAGTGCCCCTAACCACTGACTCACCCTCCAGTCCACAGGCTCTCTTTCTAGCTAGCGCTTCTGTCCAAGGAGTCATTTCTCTAATATTCATCACCTAATACTCTTCTTCTGTTAAGTTCAAATAGGCCTAGCCTATATAATAAACATTACTGTAAAACTCCTGTGCATTCTACTTAAAGTCTTACATGGCGAAGGCTGCCATAAACTACACAGCAACAATTATTTATATACTGACTGGTAGAAAAAATAATACATCTTGATTAAGTTTCAAACACTAAGATGATAAACACAGGGTATTTCCTTTTGAGCTTATACTGTGGGGTTCTATTAAGCCGCATTTACCAAGCTCTCATATGCAATAAACTCTTGCATGAACACGACAATCACTGGCCTAAAGAATTCTAAGACTCTAATGTTAAATCGCATCTAGCATTTCAACCAGCCAGCCTACAGGACGTATGTCCACTAGGTGGCATAATACTACCAGAAAGCCCAATTAAAAGAAAACCCACACGTGATCAAACTTAAAATATGTAGGTCATGTTTGTTTTGAGACAGGGCCTTGTCTGTGTAATTGCTGCTAGTCCTGAGCGCCTGGCCCTGCCTCTACCCCACACTTGGGACGACAACTATGAGTCCTCCCATCAGGTTTCAGACTACATCATCATGAAGACGGGCACACTAGAGAGAAACAGCAAAGTCTGGTTCTGTTAAGGACGGAACTACGGCAAGTCTAGCTGCGTTACTGTCTGGCTTCACGTGTGCTTCATCTAAAGAACATTTTTAAACTAAGCAGCAAACTATGCACTAAGCACTAATATATCTGTTTTCACTTAATTATCCCAAATTCTGTGAAGTGTTTTCTCGCCCTGGTATTAAACACGGCTGAAGCTGCATCCCTGAGTGGAGAACTGGAAGACGTGCTAGTCACACTAGGCCCGACTTTGCTGTGAAATACAAACCGGTACATAGCACGTGATGGGGAATTCATAAATGCCACAAATAGCAAAAAAGCAGTTTTGAATGCCTTCCCATGCTGTCAAAACCTAATCTAGGTCTGCGTTACTCAAATGGATCATCTGTGACAAAATTCACACTAAACAAGAATCTGAAAGAGACTACAAAGACGGATTCAAACACCACCCGCATCTCTAGCGGTCACAGCCAAGCTTGGCACCGGCTGAAGCACATGCATCCACCAAGTACACAGCAGGAAATGAACATCAGTGGAGCCATGCCAATTTAATGTAGCTGAACACAAGGACTAGAGTACGGTTTTGGTATATTGTTTAACATTAGCCAACTTCCTTTTCTGTTATCTCAAGATTCAGACAAGGGACAAGGCTTGTAAACTAGCCAGAAGCACAAGGGCACAGACACAAAGACCAACAGGAATAGGGTGAGGGCTCAGGGGGTATAAGCGCTTGCCTCTGTTCCTAGCAACCGGAGATCATGGCAGGGACACACACGTTGTCTTCTACATTCCATTCATACACTGAGGCAAGTGTGCACTTGCAGGCAAACAAATGTTTTTTTCTTTTTTTTTTTAAAAAAAAGGTAAAATGAAATATATCAATAATATAAGCGTTCTAAATGAGCAAATTATTTTGGGGCCTAAGAAAAACTATACCATGCCAAAATGAGAGGGAATGGGTTACTCAATGATAAGCTAGCATTTTCCTGTGTTAGAGGCATAGGGGAGGGGATGACACAGAACAGGATAGCACTGAACTTCTCACATATATTCATGACAACCCTCCCCCATACAATTAATTTTGGTTTTGCAGATAGGGAAGTGGTTAAATAGCTTGCCACTAGCATCACAACTAGATCCTGAATGGAAGAGCTATAACTAACCAACAAAAGGCATCAAATGTTTCTTATCCCATTTACCCCATTTTATTTCCCCACAATCACCAAAATAAACCATTTATGCCGTAAATCACACTGCCCCCAACCAGGTAACAGAAAGTTGCTCAGCAAATCAGTAAGATCATAAATACTTCAGTTTAGGGGCATGAGGTAGGTATCTAGAGAGTAAGGGATTACCTCCACAGCGATTATGCCTCACCCCCTACCCACTACTCCCCAAGACACAGCTAAACTGTACTCTGGCCTAATACTACCCTTACTTTCATGTGAGATATGGAGTGGCTAACACAGCAAGAAAATCTGAGGTGAGAAGAGCAAAACTCTCTAAAATAGCCTCCAAGTGTCTGTTCTTGGTGTGCTATGATGAGTAGACACTGCGGCCAAGAATTGGCAATCTCAGCTGTGACTCAACTTCCCCCGGCCTGTGTGCCAGGGTTATACAAGGTATGATTAAGTATACTAATTATGAGTCTTTGTAGTGCCCCTTTAGAATCACAGAAAGTTAGGACAACTGTTAAACAACAGCTGTGGGTTTGAAGAACTGTTTAGAACTTATGCAGAACCTGGAACTGCTTGTTCTAAATGGAGGTGGGAGGGTGGGGAAGGCACCTGGAAAGAATTTACAAGACATCAAGAAAATTCACACATAAAGGTTTTGCCTAAAATACAAGTCCCAAATGGATGCTCCTATTCAGTTCAATTTAGTGGCTTGTCACCACCAATTAATCTAAAAACTTAATCCTACAATATCAAATTCAAAGGTTTTTACAAGTGATGGTGGCTCACACCTTTAATCCCAGCACTTGGAAGGAAGAGGTAGATGGACCTCTGGAGTTCCAGGATAGTCATAGCTACACAGAGAAACCTGCCTGAGAAACAGAAAGGAGAGGATGAGGAGGAAGAAGGTGACCAACTCCCCAGGGCATGTGCACATGCACATACTAAATCCAATAAAACTTAAAATGAAACTCCTTGTCAGGTATGTACTGGAACCCCAGTACTTGAAAAACAGAGAAGCATCTGAAAGGTAATCTTGACTTCCAGCGCAGTTTGAGTCTATCCTAGGCAGCACCACAAACCCTGCCTCAACACAACAAGTATGAAAGCTAATTCTACTGGCAGTGACAAATAACTACCAGGCATATAAACATAAATTATATTAGGTACTACAGTATGTCTTGCTGGAACTCAGTGACTGATGTGATTCAACAGAGGAATGGCTGAGGACATGTACACACACCAACACACTCACTTGCACATCACGTGTGTGGATTTCCCTCTTAAGATAGTAGGGGGTGGGGGGAAGGGTGTGTGGAAGGAGTGGAGGGGAGTGGGAGGAGGGGAGGAAGTGGGAATTTGGATTGACTTTTTTTTAACGTAATAAAATAAAATAATAATAATAAAAAGGTAATGCCAGTTTTCAGAGCTTCAGCTATGTCTGTCTCTTAAAATAATCTTTGTCTCCAAGAGATGCATTTCCAGACGGCATGTTCTGGTTTCCTGCAGCTGACAGTCAGACCCTAATCCCACCAAGGACCTTCCATGCTGCACTGAAATGCATGACCTGACTTCACTACTACACAGTTTTTCTATTATTATTTTGTGGTGCCAAGCACTGGGTCATGAAGCTGACATTTCAAATATAGATATATTTACTTTCAAATAGAAAGTAAATGTATAATTTCATTATACAGTCTATTAAAATCTACATTCTTCATGTCAATCATTAATCAAAAGTCCTTCAGTAATGAAAGGTACTCATGGTATTCATGGTCAAGTTCAACATTATGGCTTCAGGTGAAAGCTCAAAGTTTATCGTGGCAATAGCATCAGATTTTGCCCCTACAGTCCTTCTCTGCCAATCCCACATGGCAGTGCACAACTCCAGTTCCAGAGGATCTGACACCCTCTTCTGACCTCTGCATGCGCCATGCATGCACATGATGCACAAAGATCAAGCGCAGGCAAACACCCACAAA